CCATCCATCCATCCATCCATCCATCTTAGCAGCTCTTGCAACACTTTCTAAAGGGGCTCTTGGTAAACATACCTTCAGAAATTGTATCAAGTCCATGTAAGCTTGCTGAAAGTTGAGTGTAATCAGACTCACAAAAAATGTCGCTGTCTGCTCTTGATTGTCGCCGAACAAGTGGTTCAGTCTCCTCTCTCCATCCAGACAGTGGCTGGTCTTCAGCCTCTTCCATAGTCACCAAGAAACAGGTGCAGCACGAACTAAACTTGTTCATGAAATATTGGTTGATTTTGATGTCAAAGCAGAGTACTAAAATATAAACTCCGTATATTAACAGGAGTGAAGCACATTCGTACCTAAGACAAAGTAAAAACTTCATGTCAACGTCCATTAAGGTTCACAGGGTTTTTTTTTCTTTTTCTTTTTTTGAGACACTGCATTTTGTATCTTTCTACAGAACAAATGATTTTGGAAAGTCAGTGTCCAGAATGATGTTTTCCATTGGCGATGAGACCAGGGTTTATACACTGTTACATCAAAAGAAAGAGCAATTGGTTTGGGGCTTAGCAGGTTGTATGAACCCTTCCATTTTGGTTTGATGTGGTATGCCAACCTAGCCAGTTGCAGCTTATCCAACAACAAACCTTGACAGAACTGTTGTATGAAGCAAGTCAACGTATCTTTCTCAACATTGCCCACTGCACTCAGCAGTTGTCTTGAGTTCAGAACACATGTATTTTCCAGCTGTTCCCGCAGATTGTACAGTTTGAATTTCATGCCAATACGCATACTTTATGATTGAACAATATTTTCTGTGTCTGCCTTTATAATAGCTCCAACTGTTTCCGACTGTAGGCTTTGTGCATGAGGACTAAAGAGATGTGATTGACCAGAAGAAGTCGAAGTATATCAGGTTCTATCTAGTCTGCATAAAAAATGGGGACATTTCACTATACCATTTGCTCTGTGTTCTCACTCCATCCCCAAGGTCCACCAGCACCAGCCAGATGCAAGAGATACACAGGTTGCACCTGTGGTTGGAGAATTATTCTTTGTTGCAATGAGCTCCTCCCACACAAAAACCATTCAAGATGACT